CGGCAACGTGAAGGCCCAGAGCATCTTACGAACAGGTAAGCCTACGGTCCTGGACGCCCAGGGCTCCCAGAGAGAGCCTCAGTTTCCCTCAGGTGAAGTGCTCTGCATTGTGATTCCTACTTTCTGAGAAAGGGAAACGTGTTGAAGATATTTAGAAGCACTGCTGTAGTTGTGTTTTACTTCTTATTTCATACTGGAAACATTGCTTATTCACTTTCCAGGTATTTAGAGAAGTAGAGGATAGTAAGAAAAACTGTCTCGAGTCACCAACTGTTAGAAAGTCTTCCCAGTCTGTTTGTTCTTGTAGTGCTTACATAATTAAGATTACATTTTACCTATTTTGCAGTGCTCAGAATGAACACAGGGCCTTATATGTTCTGGCGAGCACTCTGCCACTAAGCTCGACCCCCATTCCTCTTTTTCTCTCAGATGGCATCTCACTTTGTTGTCTGTGCTGACACCAAGAAAGAAAGATGGTACCTGGGAGGCCTAGGAAGACAGGAGATCAGCTCTAGGTATCTAGGTAGCAGCTTGCATGATTAAGTGAGCTCAAGAGAGGCTTAGGTCACAGAATGAGATCCTGTCTCAAAAAGGAGAATAAATCAAGGCATTCTCTTATAGGCCTCTCTTTTCAGGAGGCGGAGGCAGGAAAATTGCCTGATCCCAGGAGTTCTGAGCCATGTAGTGAGACTCTTGTCTCAAGACAAAAAAAAGCCAGCTCAAAGCTTAGACTCAAGTGCTTGGGAGCTGAGGCAGGAAGGCTGCTGGGAGTTGGAGACCAGCCTGGATTACACAGTAAGAGTCTGTTTCAAAGAGAGAAAACAAAAGGTATAAGAAAGAGTAAGTCACGAACAGGTTTGTTTTGTTTTGTTTGGTTTGGTTTTTTTGAGACAGAGTCTCTATGTAGTCCTGGCTGTTCTAGAATTCAATGTATAGACCAGGCTGGCCTACTCACAGCGATCCACCTGCCTCTGTCTCCTGAGGGGCAGGACTAAAGACTACACGGTTTTTGTAGACAGTTTATAGCACAGCACTTCCCAGTGTCTGGTTCAGCATTTTCCTGGAAACTTTTCTGCTTTTTGTTCCCCTACAGCTGGAACTGCTTTGGGACTTGGGGTTGTGAACATCCTCCACACTATGAATCCTTCCCTAGTGATCCTGTCTGGAGTCCTGGCCAGTCACTATATCCACATCGTCAAGGACGTCATCCGCCAGCAAGCCTTGTCCTCTGTGCAGGATGTGGATGTGGTGGTTTCCGACTTGGTTGACCCGGCCCTGCTTGGCGCTGCCAGCATGGTTCTGGACTATACAACCCGCAGGATTCACTAGGTTTCCTGGGAGTAGACATGGACCCAAAAGCTACTTAGTGAAACGAGGTTCTTTTAGATCAGTACTTCTCCAAAGGCAAGTTTGGGGGTGGGGGGCTGCTGAGATGACTCAGTGGTTAAGAGCCTGTACTGCACTTGCAAAAGATCCCAGTTCGGTTCCCAGCGCTCAGTCGGGCACCTCAACTGCCTGAAAGCCAAGCTCCAGGGGATCCAAGGCCTCAGCCGCCTAGGGCATCTGCATCCAAATGTACATACCCCTCCCCACAAACACAGAATTAAAAATAAATCTTATTTTTTAAAAGGCAAATTTGGTATTTATTCTCCAGCAACACCAGCAGAAGTACCTTTGCTTTTTGTTTTTTGTATTCAGGGTTCTCTAGAGCAGAACTGACAGACTACATCTTTCTATACATAACGGGAATTACTAGAATAGCTCCCAGGCTGAGGTCCAGCTAGTCCAGCAGTGGCTGTCTCCCAAGGGAAATCCAGTCCAGGAGAGTGGGGGCAGCCAGGCAATCACTTCCTTCTTCCACGTCCTTTAGAGAGGCTGCCACCAGAAAGTGTGGCTCTTTCTACTTCAAATCATTTAATTAAAAATCCCTCCCAGGTGTACCTAGCCTCTTGGGTTTTTAGTTAATTTCAGATATAATCAAGCTGACAACCAAGAACAGCATCACACCTTTCCCGTGAGCCTCTGCAGGGGCTGTGCCGATAGGATCTTACTGCAAACTCTGTGGGTTCCAGCGACAACACTTGTGCAGCTCATGGGAAGATGTGGGTTAACAGTCCTTCCTCAGACACAGTGAAGGAAAGCTCACCAGGAAATGCCTGCTGTTTTTTTAACGACGTAACTTCTTTCATTTCACAGCCTGTCCAGCAGGCATGCGCCTGTAAAATAGCTGCCAGAATCAGGGCCTGGACAGATATCTTATCCCAGTGTCTGCAGGAAGAGGCTCTACTCATCAAGGTTTTTTTTTCTTCTTCGAGACAGGGTTTTGCTATAGCTTTGGAGCCTGTCCTGGAACTAGCTCTTGTAGACCAGGCTGGCCTCGAACTCACAGAGATCCACCAGCTTCTGACTCCCAAGTGCTGGGATTAAAGGCATGAGCCACCACTGCCTGGCTGGGTCTTTGCTTCTATGCAGCAATGCCTGCCACTTCTGTTTTTCACTGTTCCCTGTGACCTGGAATATCAGAGTGGAGCCAGTGTGTGTGTGTGCATGCACGAGAGCGAGCGAGAGAGACACCTAAAGCTCAGAGCCACAAATCTGAATTCTGATTAAATTAGAATTTGTGCTTTTTGTTGTGTATGTTTGTTTTTGAGACAGAATCTCACTTGTCTCACTCTGAACCTTGGTTCAATCCTCTTGATGCAGTTTCCAGAGTGCTGGAATTCTAAACAATGAGTTACCACACCCAGCTTAAGACCTGTTCTTTCATTTATGACACAATACACCTAAAACAGCACCAACTGGGAGCCATGTGTGAAGTACTTGAGCCTATGGAGAACGTTCTCATTCAAGCTTCCCCAGCCAGTCCTGTAGTGGCACATTTATTTGTTTTTTGATAAATAAATCTTGCTTGAAGACCAGAGGCAAAGCTAAAGCCACTACAGGTCAGGCAATGGTGACACACACCTTTAATCCCAGGATTTGGGAGACAGAGGCAGATGACCACCCTGGGCTACACAAGATCAGTGCTGAAACAAATACAGGTAGTGGTGGCTCACACCTTCAATCCCAGCACTAGAGGGACTATAAAATGGGAGGAGAGAGAGGCTTAGTTTGGTTAGTTTAAGGTTGCCCAGGCTTGGTAGAGGTAAGACTTCTCTAGTGATTTGGCTGCCTTGCTTTTCTGACCTTCAGGATAAAATTTCTGTCCCTGGGTTTTTAGTATTTGTGCTACAGTTCCTGACCCCCATGAACCTATGAAAATATCACAAATCAAAACGCAAGTTAGTTCACCGGTAAAGTCCCTGTGGTCTCTAACAGTCTCAACACCATTCAAAAAATTTCTCAACTCCATCCCCCTGTAAAATGAAAATTACACACTTCCAACCCACAGTGGCAGAATACACATTCCCCTTCCAAAGGGGAGCCAGGACAAGGACACAGTGAGGACTAGGGGCAATGAGGGCACTGGACATAAACAAGACCCAACCCAGCAGGGCCAACTGCAGATCCTGGAGCTTCAGGTCAGCACCCGGGCCGCCAGTGTCAAAGGGCTTGGATGGCTCAGCCCTTCCTGCTCCGACACACGTTTTTCTTGGGCTGGTTATAAGGAAAGGGTAAGACAGTTGACCCTGAGGGCTCTTCCAGCCCTTATGTCAGCGCTTCTCAACCTTCCTCATACTGCCTCACAGTTCCTCATGTTGTGGTGACCTGAGCCACAGGATTAATTCCTTGCTACTTCCTAACTGTAATCTTATCACTGTTATGAATTGTAATGTGAATATCTGATATGCAGGACATCTGCTATGTGAACCCTGTGAAAGGGTCATGCGACCCACAGGTTGAGAACCACTGCCTTACAGTGGTTATAGGCAGTTGTGTCTGGGACAGAGGATACACAAAGGGGCATCAGCACCCACTCCTGGCTGAACCCTAATACCGCATACCAAACAACTGAATTGCTACCAAGTTCTGGGCCAAATTCAAAGCCAAATTTTAGCTTTAATCAAATTTGTGGAAAGAGTAATATGTCCTGACATAAATTATTATATATGGTTAAATTACATCTTAAATATTTTGATTCTGAACTAACTTTAAAAGAAAAAAATTCCATCTCCTTGTCTAAGTCTTAACAACACCATAATACGCTTTTTCCCTCAACTCAGCTAGAAGTACTACTCTTCCCAGGAGAGATTTGTATTTGTTGTCCTGCTTATTCAGCCTTTAACATTATGTAATAATTTACGGTATTGAGTACCACTGTTTTCTGAACCAAGGAGGAAGGAAGTGCTTTCTGAACCAAGGAGGAAGGAAGCTATTAATAGACAGCATTATTAAACTAGCATGTAGTACCCGACACAGAGAAAAGGTAGTCCCAAGAAGGAAACTCAAAACTAAACGTGGAACACCCACTAATCACCCCTAGATCAATTACTACTGATCTTTTTTTTTTTTTAAGGCAAATGAACTTGGGTTTCCTTGCTGCACGGTAGCTTCAGGTACAGCTTTTCATGTAGGGGCTCAGGGTCACCAGGTAGAGAACTGGACCGTATCAGCCATAAGCTGTGCTGCCCTTTACTGTCTGGAATGCACACACCATCACTTCTGGACAACATCAGATTTTAAAACTGTCCCACTGCCTTCAGGAAACCCCAGACAACAGTATGTAGACAACGCCCAAACCAAGCGGTGTTAGGGTCATGGGAGTTGAGGGGAGAGGAATAAAACATTACGGGGCCTTTAAACTGCTTTTTTAATTGGACCCCATCTCCAAAAGTCAAAAAGGCCTGCTGTAGTACTCTTACCTAGTACACCCAAGACCCTAGGTACGCTTACCCAGTATCCCCATCCTCCCCAAACACCAGAACTATGGAGTTATTACAGTTTAAAGAGAGGTGGGTGCTCAATGGCTGTGCCTTCTCTGCCCCAGAAGAGAATCACTCACCGCTTTAAGCCTGCCCCAAGCTGCAGCACCAGTTTGAGGTCAATAAAGACGCTTCATGTATATTGTCTGAAACAGAAATTTATTCTCAGAATAATGCACAAAAGCACGGGTTGAGGCTACTGTCGGGAGGGTCCTCCCCTCCTCCTCCCCTCTTCTCTGAATGCCAGGGAGAACAGTTGAAGGAAACATGCAATCACAAACAATGATCAACTCTAAAGACAAAAAGGTTTGGTCCAAAAAAACTCAACATAATTAATCCAATTACGTGAACAGCTTCACTGAGTAGGATTAAGATATCGCAGACGTAGTGTTTCCACAGGGTAGCTCTTCAATGCACCAGGGGGGCCTGCTTCAAGGAGATGAGGACTGAGCGCATGCGAGAGACATCTTTGGCCTGTTTGCTGGACTTGGGGTTAAAGTCACACAGGCGGGCCACCCGCTCCCATTCAGTGCCTGGGGATGACTCATCGATGTCGTTTACAAAGGCTTCTTCTGCTGCCCTGGAAGCAATAACAGAATATGTTGGTTTAATGTAAAAACCCACTGAGCAATCTGGTGGCTGCCTTGCTATAACTTGCTACAGGATAAGTGTTTGTCTCTTTTGACTCAGGGGTGTTATGGTTTTTCAAAGAGTATCAGCCCCTGGCTCAGGTCAGAAGCAGGGGCAGACACTGGCCAGCTCTCCTTGGTACAGGTACCCAGGCTGCTGTATGAAATGGTGGAATACAGGTGTTTGGTTCAGTGCTCAGTCTGTCCCTATGGCTGTCTTTGCTCATCAGAGCATGAAAAAGCAAGTCCTTGGCCACCTATGCATTGCTTTTTGCATAAGAGCAAAGCAGCAGGCTGATCAAGGGCTTGCAGAGTAGCTTGTGCTGGGCTATACTGAAGTTCAAGGGAATTGAGACTTCTAAAAAGGCCTTGGGTCATTGCACAAGAGCCCAAAACTTACTCCTAAGGCTGGAGAGAAACAGGGCAGAGCAAAAGGCATTCAAGACCAAGCTCCCATGCTAGCAGGCACTAGAGACTAAAGCCATTCTGGAAGGGTTGTTAGGACAGTCACCAGTTCAGCCAAAGGTCTGCCATTTTCTCTCCACCCAGGTGCCTGGTGCCACTCAGGGAATACCCTGGCAGGAGAGCCAACATGAGCTGCTTTTTGGCAGGATGCCACTTCAATGTTCTTTTCCATCAAGATCAGCCCACCCCCAGTGGGGAACTAACTGGCACGAGCAGAAGCCCAGAAGGACAGTGGTGGAAGTGGAAGACACATGTGTTTCATCTACTCCAACAAGCATCACGGCAAAGCAGAAGCAATGGAGATGACCGGTCTGTGGGGACAAAGGGTGGCACTATCACAGGGATGGCCGTGGCAAACACTGCTGAAGCCCAGAGCCACTACAACACTGCGACTTCATGGCACACACAGTTAGGGGCAGTGAGAAAGGTTTACTTAACTGTTCTAGGCTGTAGCAAGGATGGTTTATGTTTGTGCTTAAAGGTGAAGAGAAGAAAAGAAACAAGGAGAAACTTTAGGTCAGATATAGAAAATGAGAATGAGCTCAATGCAGATGGTCAGTAGCTAGACATGCCCTTGCCGATCTACCTCTGCCTGGGACATGCAGCTGGCTTTGCTGGGCCTCCCTGCTGTCCAGCAAACCCAGACTCAACCTTTCCAGTAGTCTCCATTTCTACTCCAGAGAATGTGTAAAAGTCAAATTAAACACCACCTGTAAGTCCAGCATTTCACAAGTCTCACTGCAAAGGCATCCAGGTCTGTCTTCTAATGAGGTGGCCACCTCAGGGTCATGGGCCCTGAGGTTCTCCGCCTACCACCCACCTTCCACAAGTGGCTGCTGTTTTCTCCCCTAATTCTGTTGTAAAAAGGAAATCAGTGAGGACTATTCCAAGTCCTCAGAAATACTGTTTTCAGTAACAAGGATCCTTTTTAAAAACAAAAAAGTTTTTCCAGGAAAGATAACAGTTTTCTGGGGCAGGGTGGGGGGCAGGAGGAGGGGAGAACACTTGAATATCTTGACCTCACAGCGGGGGGGGGCTCTGCTAGGGTGGGAAACAGGGTACCAGAAGCTGGCCATTAAATTAACAATCTCTGATGTCTGAGACCAGAGAAAACAGTGACAGACACCCACTTTGCCTGAGTGAGCACCACTCACCTCCCAGCCTTTAGGATCAAGAACTGACAAGGCAGAGCACCTCCTCCCCGCAACTCCCCACTCTGACTGGTAATCTATGATGCTATTGTCCTTGGGCTCCTAACACTTAGGTCATCAACTGCTCCATGTGGGAGACTCTCCTTCCCATCTTAGGCAGACAGGCAGGCAACAGGTCCTGGAAGCAGTACCAGTGGCAGCAACAGCAAGAGGTCAGACCATCTGAGCCCAGAGCCTTCCCAGACAGATTGTGAAGGACCATGTTTGAAAGCTTGTTTCCCACCAGAATCGGGTATGCAAGTGGTCGCCAGGGAGTGTGGGGTGAGCACTCTGCAAGGTTAGCAATGATCACAGCTAGCTTATCAACTGTCAAGCAGCCCCACAGAGCCAAGGGGAAATATTTTAAAAAGCAAAGCAACTTGTGACAAAAAGGAGCATTAACTCTAAACAAAAAGAATCAAAACAAGAAAAGGAATTAGTTTTGCAACATACACATAACCAATCACGTCAGCGAAGGGTTGTTTGTAGAAAGCTTCATCTGCCACCCTAGACAGCAAGAAGTCCAAAAGGCAGGCAAGCAGGCAGGAAAAAAGAGAAAACATTGAGAAGCAGAAACATCTAAAATCCACAATAGAGGTGTGACAGTGCCCTGGGAGCTGCTCCCAAGACTCCATTCTAACCAGAGGGGCTTCCAGTGGTGGAGACTCCCGTGCAGAGGCATCTTGGAAGCTGGCCTTCATAGGCTCTCCACAGAGAGCGCTTCAGCTTCAGCTTCAGCTTCGGGCCACTCCACACATCTCAACCATTACCACCTATGGCTGCCAGTGTGCTCGCCCTACTCCACGTGGAAGATGACTGGGGCTTCAGAGGTGAAGACCTGGTCAGCTACAGCAGTAGCAATGTGGCTCGTAGTGCATATATTTTACTTACTATAAATTAAAGTCGTTTCCAAGCTCGGGATGGCAAGCTATCTTTCTGCCAGCCTTACTCAGTATCACTGGGTATGAATACTGTCAAGCAACAAATGGGCACGGGCCCAAAGATTTAATCCCCAATATTGGTTCCAATCACTGCTTCCCCACACTGGCTTGGTGGAAGAAACAGTCTGTGGTTGCTGCAAACTTAGAGATAAGAGCAACCGGAGGGGAAGTGGTCTAGGGAAATGGAAACTAGTGTGGCCTCTGGCCCCAGGCTTTTCTATTCTGCTCAGGAAGCCACGGCAGTTTCTGAACACCTATATGTTAGTCTTGGCTGGCTCTGACAAAGTGTAGCTTAAAATCCCACATTTCACCAAGTCTTAATCTACTCAGGGGGAAGTGGACCAAATGACAGAATGTGGACTAACCAGGGACACAAGGTGTCAGGAAGGTATACAGCAAATAAAGTCTCAGCCCGTCCTTTGCCAGGTTGTTTTATGATGAGAAACTGAAAATGTCTGGTTTTTTGAGACAGGGTCTCAAAGTTCCTGGCTAGCCAAGAACTCACTTGGCTTCCCAGTAGTGAGGCTGCGGTAACTGGCTGGGCCATTTTTCAATGACAATCACACTCACTCATTATCTTAAGCACACATTTATCTGAAGGCAAATTCGAATAACTTACATTTTGGCTTCTTTCATTTGATACAGGGTCTCAGGTAGCCCAGGTTGGCCTTAAACTTCATAAGGAGATGAAGATGACCTTGAAATTCTGGTTTTCCTGCCTCCTAAGAACCTGAACATGCTCTGGGGCACCCACTTTATGAAATGCAGTATTGTGGATCCAGATCAGGACTCAGACACTACGACACTACTGACTGAATGACACCGTCAGTGGGTTTCAGATTATTTTTTAGGCACACACACACCCTTTACTCTTTCAAACTTCTCCACACAGAAGGTGTTTGTGGAAATTTAGAGAGAGCAAAAGGAGCAGCCTGGCTGTGGCTCAGTGACTCGCAGGAAACAGCTGCTGAGTGAGAGAAAGGCTCACAAGGGCAGGCACTGTGGACGCTCTAATCCTTTCAGTTTATACAAGGGGTTTAGCCTAATCCATCTCGACTCTGCCTCACTCCCTGGAGGAGGATAAAGGTTTAATGTCTTCCATCAAGGCATCACTTGACAAAAGGCTTCTCTGTTAGGCTCTGTTTGCAACTAGCCCCAAAACTACAGAGCTAGTGACAAGCAGGGCCTCACAGCAGATGCAGGCACCCACCTGTTTGTTCTCCCAGCTTAAGGCGGACCTGGACTCAGCGACTGTCAGAGAGCTCAGGGAAGCCTGGGAAAGGGGAGAGGAATGCCTGCCTACAGGACAAGCTCCTCGGGCCTAAAATAACAATTCAGAACTTCATCCTATAAATAGCTCCACAGTGGACATGGGAAAAAGAAATCTACCACTGCTAAAAATAATTAAGATTCCTGAAATGTTTTCAGGCTACAGGAGAACTTAAAGTCCCAACACAAGAGACCTCTAACATGGATAATGCTTCTCTTCTTGCTTGGGAAGGGTTGCTCTAGGGTTGCCCTCCATGGATGGACTGCAGGAGACCACTGCTTGGACTCTCTGAAAAGGGGATTTCTTCTTATAGCTACCACCGAATGGCTTGGGATGAAGGGAGCTGCAGTCCAGCACTGATGACCCAGCACCACTGACATGGGAACAAAGACCTCTATGTCTGCTGCTATTCCACACTCCACCCTGCAGGACTGGGCAGGACTCACTCCCAATGTCTTGGTGAGGTGTTTTGTTGAGACAAGGTCTGTGCATCTCAGGCTAGCCTCAACATTCATTTCCGTCAGAGCCTTCAGAGTGTGAGATCGTAGCAGTGTGGCACCACAAAGAGCTTCGTCACCACCCTTCCTTCACTCTGAGTTGTTGCAGGATGGACACAGGGCCTTGCACATGCTAAAGTGCTCCTACCACAAACACAGAGCTTCACTCTTAGAGTCCCTCAAAGGGCCTGCAATGCTCCTAACACCAGCCTCTGAAGGAATCGCTGGAAGCCTGGTGGCGGCAGTGGCACACACGGTTAATCCCAGCACTGCAGAGGCAGAAGCAGGCGGATCTCTGTGAGCTGCAGGACAGCCCGGACTACGTAAAAGGACTGTCTCGATACCAAACAAGTCAACAAAACTACCGGAATAAACAGCGGGAGCAATCTGTCCTGACTGTGGGGTGCTGGCCAGCGCGCCTCCAGCTCTCTGCAGTCTGAAGCCGGTGAGCGCGTGCTCCAAGGTGCACATGTTAACACTCCACGGGAAATCATTTCTGTCTGGAACTTGAGCAGATCGGGCAACTCAAGATTCTAAAATTCCAAGAAAAGTAAAGTACTATCGTCTGGCTCCACGCTCAGAACCTCAACCTTTAAGGTTAAGTACCTACAACAGACATGGAGTGTTCCTTTAGAAGGAAGTAAAAGCTACTCCAGCAGGAAGTCTGGTCCCAGCATAGTTTTTATCAGATTTGAAAATCTATTTGCCAAGTTGCTGAAGACTTGAGGGCGCAGCACAGAAAGATTTAGAGCATTTGGCCCAAGTACTTCAGAGTAGCTCAAGTGCCAAGGCAGCCTTTGCTGGGGAATCTCACCACACCACAGCAGCCTTCATTAGCACGGATCCAGAACCAGGGAAAAAGCATCCCGAGGAGGCCCAGGGCAGAGAGGGGCCTGGCATTGTGGGCACTTCACAGCACAGCAGACGCAGAGCAGCGGGAAGGCAGCTGTGCCCTGGTGACTAACCTTGACCAGACACTAGTTTCCACCCTGCCGGACACAAAACTTCAAATGGAACCTGAAGGCATTGTTCTAAAGTGTATCCCTCTCCTCAGAGAAATGACCAGGTTAAGAGGCCTGGGCCTGGCATCAAAGGACAGTGCCAAGGATGACTCCCCCCCAAAAGTAAATAAATAAATAAAAAGGCTCGGGCAGTTTAAAGGCGCCCATCTGTTCCGTCACGGCTGCCTCACAATGGCGTCACCTGGCTAGTGAAGGGTTAGCTACATTTTTCTGACAGATTTCCATCTAAGAGCTGCCCACAAAGCAGCACCAGATCAGCCTTTAGACACCAACCTGAGGCCCCACCCTAGTCTGCCTTGAGTTTGTTTTTGTCTTTTTAAACAATGAAATGAGTGACATGCCTCCTACTCAGTAAAAGGCGGCTCTGGATCCAGCAGAAAGCGAGCTAATCTGCTTTGCCTAGGGAGTCTACTACAAGCATCCCGCCAGGCTGCCTGAGAAGTCTGTGCAGACCACAGCCAATGTAATAGCAGGGGAATGAGTGTTTGCCCCCTACATTATGAATTCTCAGTAAGTGAATGTATTCTGAAAAGAGCATCTTTAGGGGACCTATTCAAGACTTGATAAGTACGGGTGGTAGCTAGTGAACCCTAATCCTGTAGTCCATGCTGGAACATCCTGAGCTACCTAATTACAGAGCATGCCCACGCTCAGGACCCTCGTGAAGCCTCTTTAGGAGGGCAGGGCTACATTTAGGGAATGCGGATAAGTTAGTCTGTAATCGTCTCCAGAGTAATAGACGGCAATCGACCTTTCATCTCAGAGTTCTCCAGTGCGAACTGTCCTGGATCACGCCATTACACTGGTAAAACTAAACCCAGTTTAAGAGCCATATTCAATAGAGGCTGAATTGTTTCTAGTTCTGAATTGTTTCTAGTCTCTGTTTCTAGCAGTTTCTTCCAAGTTGGCCAAGGCCTTTCATATGAAGGCAGGCACAGTCAAGAAGCTACACAGTGCGCTGGAAAACGGACTTGATCCCGGCTCAGAGAACCACAGTGGACTGACCTGTTGTTTGCTTTTGTTTTCTGTAGCTGCTCATCCTGTCTCGCATACCATTCTTCTAGCTCCTTTATTGCTTTTTCTTTCCACTCTGCTTCTTGCTTCCGAGAATTGGCATCTTTTAAAGGAGAGAAAAGAATACAACTGAGGGAAAGCAAAATTTAAGTTCACTTCTACATGTAACATTTTGGTCTTACCGAATTTACCTAAGTATGGGAATGTATGTGAACAGATATGCTGGGGAAATGATGCGAGGCAGCTGGAGAGACGGCTGCCCTGCTCTTCCAGGGAACAGGTTCCATTTCCAGCACTCACATCACACGGTGGCTCACAACCGCCTGTAACTCCAGTTCCAGGAGATCTGACACCTTCTTCCGGCCTCCACAAGTACTTCACACATGTGGTGCACAGGCATACACACAACTTTTTTTCTTTTCTTTTGAGCCAGTATGTATTTCATTTAGCCCAGGATGACCCCGAACCTAGACAACCTTGAACTTTTGGTTCTCCTGATCCCACCACCCAAATGCTAGACCACAGACATGCACAACTGTGCCCAATTTTGTGCTGCGCCAGGGACTGACCTCAGGACTCTCTGCACGCTAGGCGAGCACTCTTCAACTCAACAGTATCTCTGCTTTCCTCACAGACTGTATGGCCTACAATCATTCATGTTTTTACAGCACATATTTACTCTCCCGTCTATAAACATGGTGCAAACACTTGCGTGAAGCAGAAAACTAACGGGAAAATTAGCAGAGATAGAAATGACTCGTGAGCCACAAACTATCTACTAAAACTATACTCAGACTGCAGTTAATTCATAGCAGAGCCAGCTGTGGAAGAAAGCAGGATGGAGGGAAGGGCAGGGTCAAGGACACAGAATCTCTGTTAACAATTACCCAAAACCTTTAAGACACTAGATAGAGAAAATTCACACACACAGATTTTCTAGTCTGGATTCCCAAATGGGAAATGTCTTTTTTCTAAGCTTTTTATTTATTTGTGTGTATGTGTGCGAATGAGAATGCAGGTACCCAGAGGCAGAGGGCATGAGAAACTGTAGAGATGGCGTTACAGGCTGCCATGTCTGTGCTGGGAACTGAACCTGGGTCCTCTGCAAGAGCAACAAGTGCTCTTAACCGCCGAGCCACCTCTCCAGTTTCAATGTGAAATTTCCTTAAGATTAAACGTGGTTTTCCTAAAGTGTGTACTTGACGATGGTCTGTCACAAAGTGAGGGAGAGAATATTGTCCCAGCCGGTGGTGCACTTGGCACATGAACTCGCTCTAACAGTCGAACATGTTCTTCAGGACATCCTCACCAGCTAGTGTTTCACATGCATCCCAGTCTGGACAGTACTCCCAGGAAGATAAATTCTGGGTCCATTTTCAGCAGTGAGGGAAACCAAACCAAACTAAACACCTCCGAAAGGCGAGTGACCTTGCCACAGTCCAGGGCAAAGCCTTAGTCTGCTCTCCAGCTCGCACTGACTTACTTCATCACGCAAGTCTGGAATAATCACATGACTGACTATCAAGGCTACCAGTAACCCAGAGTTCTCAAAGTGCAGAGCAAGAGCCCAAGCTGTAATTAGTATCTTGGAGAAAGCAGAGTGGCACCAAATAGTGATCTGAAGAAGCAAAAAGTGTTTGTGGGCATCTTTATGACCTTTGCAAGAAATGCACTAACAATCAGCACAAGGCTATACCTAGCTAAAATTGCCTGGTGACAATTAGGAGTCACCAAGTTTCACATGACTTAAGTTCTTCATTTTGTTGTTTAACTCATCAGAAGATGGCCAAGCACTCACATACATAGTAACATACAGTCCTGGTTCAGGGCACACACAGAGCAGAGGGTAAACTATACTGCTATCAGAGTTTACAAGTTGATGAAGCCATGTAAACTTCAAGGAACTAAAATACTACCAAACCTAGATGCAAAGTAGAATTTCTTCCCAAAGCACCCTTTCAGGGCTGGCAAGATGGCTCTGTGGGCAAAGCATCGGCAGTACAAGCACGAGGACCTGAGTTCAATCCTGGACCCCACAGGGGAAGGGAAGAGCCAACTCCTTGAAGTTAACCTGTGACCACCAAATACACATCATAGCACTCACACACACACGAAAATTTTTTAAAAATTTAAGTGCTCTTCGATTGGAGTATATCCTTTCGATATACTCTAACGATCATTAAAATTATTTTCGTTAGGGCTGGGCATAGTGGCACACGCCTTTAATCCCAGCACTTGGGAGGCAGAGGCAGGCGGATCTCTTTGAGTTTGAGGCCAGCCTGGCCTACGGAGCGAGATCCAGGACAGCTAGTGTTACAAGGGATATATAATGGAGAGACTGTCTTTCTCTTTTCAGTCTCATCATTAGCCCAAAACTGGCAGTCACTTGCTGTCCAGCCCAGTTGGCCTCACACTTGTCTGCTCTCAGGGCCTAGGATTAGAGTTATGTATCATACAGCCAGTACATGTTTTTATTAAATGTTGGCATTAGAATATACAGACTTTTTCTAAGAAGGATTAGTCTAACTGAAGTAAAAATTGTGACCATCTGTAACAGGACCCTTGTCCTCTGGCCTTTACAGATCAGGATGTAGTTAGAACCTCTAGTGTTTAGCCTGAAGGGACGGAGATGGAAAGGCATGGGCTGGGGTGGAAGGGAAGGTAGGCTGATAGGCACCTTCTTCCCTAGCCCCCAGCTCACTGGCTGTCGCTGGTCCTCTACGGTGACACCTGTGCCTTCCACAGTTCTCACAATGGAAAGGGGACTGCAGAAGCCCCTCATCTGTGGACAATCTGGCTGGAACACAAAGCCAAGCATGTGATTCCCCTCAAGAAGCCACGCTGAGCTGGGGGAGCGATGCACACCTGTATCTCAGCATTCGGAGGATCACAGGTTTAAAGTCAGTTTGGTTTACACAACAAATGCCAGGCCGAGCAGGGCTACACTATGAGGTTCTGTGGTGGAGATGGGAGAAGATCTCGAGTTAAGAAAACTCTTCAAATAGTTCAACATACAAGCTTGGTAAGTTTTTTAAAAAAGAAATTTCCTATGAGCAAAACATATCCTGTCTGTGAAGACAGACTCTGCCTCCAAGCCTTCAGTAGAGACACACAGGCACGCACACGTGCACAAAAACAAAGACCGCAGCAGCTAAGACACCTGGCAGCCTGTTTTCATCTCCCTAAAGCTGTACCAATACAGGAGCTTTCAGACACACGTTGCTACTGGAGTATAAGCTTACTAAAAATGAACAAAGCATAAGACTGAGCTGAATTCCAGCCATGAGTACCTGAATACCCACATGTGGTCAGTGGCTACTATACTGTAAATTACCACATACACACACAACTCTATTGAGTGGCTACTATTGTGTATTGCCATATACACACACAACTGTATTAAAAACAAGGACCAAATTGGCCAACAGTATATATAGCAAGTATTTCCACTGAAGAAAGGACATTCAGGCCCTTCTATGCAGGGTCACTCTGTACCAGGGATAAAGATCTGCCATTAACTGGTTAGGTTATCTGGGTCAGGTTTTTTCCTATATCCAGGTGTCAGTTACCCCATCTGAATAAGGAGTCATGTTTTCACTAGGCCAGTATTCTGGGAGAAACCTACTATTGGTGTAGATACATGAAGAAATGTAATATTTCTAGAGTAATAGAATAAAAAAGTTAGACAGGACATTATGTCTTCAAGATAGAGCACATCAGTCAAAACAAAAGAAGTTGGTGATGGTGCACGCCTTTAATCCCAGCACTTGGGAAGCAGAGGCAGGCGGATCTCTGAGTTTGAGGCCAGCCTGGTCTATAGAGTGAGTATGGGAATGGAGAGATGTCTCAGTGGTTAAGAGCACTTATTGCTCTCCCAGTGGATCCAGGTCAGGTTCACAGCATCCATGTGGGGGCTCACAGCCACCCATCTCAGCCATCTCAGCTCCAAGGGATCCCACACCCGCTTCTGACCTCTGAAGGCACCAGGCACACATCTGGTACATATACACACATGTAAGCAAAACATTTATGGACACAATACAATGAATAAATCTAAAAATAAACAAAGTATGCACACACACAATATAACTACAACGAGAATCATCTAAGAACTAGGGGTGATAGTGCACACCTTAGCTCACCACTCAAGCAGGCAGAGGCAAGTGGATGTGAGCTCTACACATCAAGCACCAGACACACAGGCAGTAAACACACATGCAGCCAGAACATTCACACACACACAAATTATCAACCTTTAAAAAAGGCTCCTGATGCTATCTGATGGAAAGTGACTGGACCACCTAATTAATGGAGCCATTCATGATTGATCACAATTGAATGGACCACTGAGAGGTGGTGGTAACATGAAGTGAGGCCTGCAGTGGTGGCTGTGCAGAGTGTCTTCACAGGTATATGTTGTCCTTGGCCGCCAAGGCTCTGTTTCCTAGCTGCAGGGAGGTCTCTGCCTGTCCTGCCATGATGCTTCTGTCTTACCAGTAGCCCATTTCTGAAACTGTGAGCCAAATTAAACCTTCCTCCTTTCCGCTGACTTAACACCATGACATCACAACAATGGGAAGTTACTAGCACATGCCCTAACATTTGATTCATCTTGTAAGAATGTCATTCACAGGACAGTAAGTCAAGTCTCCACATAGCCTGTAAATAGCATGCGCTGGAGGTAAGTAACACTGTTTCCTTTCAGATGCTAACAGAATAGAGATCTGAAAGTGTCCACACAGTAAGATCAAATCCCAGCATAGCCTTTTACTTCAAGTCCAGGGACCTTTAGCTCCCTATTCCCATGTTTCTCATAGCCTGTGATGAAGCATGTCCATGTTGGTGGCCTTGTGACCTTTAGGCTGAGAAATGCAGCTTCCCAAAGACCAGACAAGGACATTACAGCTAATCTAAGCTTAAAAGGGATAAAAGTGGAGTCCAGGTCAACCACCCACTGAAAACAGACACCCGGAGGCAAATGGGGCTCCTTACCGAGGGCTTCCAAGCGCTCCGTTTGCTCTTCTCTCCACTTGCGGATACTCTCAGGCTCTGATTGCAATCGATCCACTTCTGAAATAGCTGCGTAACTGTCTGTTGGGCCATTGCTCTCCTTAACACAAAATAACACACTCTGTCAGTACCCAAATGCCTTCCTGAAATGCTCTTCATAAAAATTAGAACCTCAGGACACATGGCATGGCTAGCTGCCATAAAACCTTAAAGGATTGCTTAAAGCAACAGCAGAGCTTTCAGCATTACTGCGCTCCGTGCTCTCCTGAGGAAGGCAGAGTAGCTGTGTCTGTGAATAGTGGGAAAGCTGAGGTGGGTGGGTAGGGGAGCCGCTATCAGTTTGTTTCTTCACTGACAGAGAGATTAGGTGTTATCTTCAAAGTAACAGAGCTAAGCTCATAGCAAAGCCGCGCCTGGAGTCCAAGACTTCGAATGCTACTTTATCGTGCAGGAAAGTCATTTAACACTATCTAACCAAACAGTGCATTCTAAGAAAGAATCCAAAAGAAAATGCACAACAACTATAGCCAAACCAGGGAAGGAATAAAAAGGTGGCAACCATGAGTCAGAGGCCACAGCGCTTCTCTACAGTGGGTAGAGCTGGGTGCTAATGACAAGGCTATACAACCTCATAGCCGCTGACTGGAGATTTACACTGTGGCCAACTGAGGATTATTACCAGCTTAACCTTCTTAGACTCTAACTTCTGAGACAAAAAGAGAAGTAAAGCTCTAGGAATTGCCAGGCTCGGTGGTGAATCCCAGCATTCTGGAGGCAGAGGAGGGCCAAATTCTGAGAGGTAACCTAGCCTGGTCTACCTAGTGAACTCCAGGACAGCCAGGGCTACATTGTTTTTGCTTGTCTCAAACCGACAAAAATAAAAACAATAAAGCACTAGTGACTTTTCTAGTGTTTGACACGGTACGTGGCAGTGTTTAAATCGATCGCCATCATGGAGGATCAGTTCTTGAAAATAAAGACAGCAAAATGTTAGAATAGTGCTCTCAGTTGAACATAGTGACTTATGGCTTATGCCTATAATCCAAAAACTTGGGGAAGCTGAGGCAGGAGGAATGCCATGAGTTCAAGGCCAACCTGGGCTATACAATATAACCTTGTCCTAGAAAAACAAAATGAAAGACAAGTGTAGTGGCTCAGACTTTTAATCCCAGCACTCAGCAGCAGAAGCAGTCTGGTCAGGGTCAGCCTGGTCTACAAAGCACATCACAGGCTAGCTAGCCAGGCAGCATCGTGAGCTTGATTTTTTCCAAGCTCTTCCCATCAACACCACTTTCCAGTTTAGTAGGTAATGTACCAGCACTGGGGTCTCAGTTAAGACTCGAGTTTGCTATCATTTAATAGTTAGAGTACTCTGTACCTGGTAGTATTCACCATTCATCACTCCATCAACAGCATCTGCAAGACACAAGGTTCCAGCCTGTCAATCAGGGCAACTAAATGCTGGGCCAAAGGAGGAAGGATTATACAGTTGAACACAGTACTGCGTGCTGCAGAGACTATGAGCTACTAATGGCCTTTAAGAAGTGATACCAGGGATATCTTGTCTAACACATGCCTCAGAGAGGCTCTGGGATCCACAGGCAAAAGAGTTTGGCAGGAGAGGGTACGGCTCCATGGTAAAGAGCACTGGCTGCTCCACTGGAGGACCAGGTTTGATTCTCAGCGCCCACATGGCAGCTTACACTGTAACCCCAGTTCCAAGAGATCCAACACCCTCCTTCTGGCCTCCATGGGTACCAGGCACCCTAGTGGTACAAAAACATACTCAGGCAAAACATTCATACACGTAAGTTAAAAAAAAAATTGCCTGACACCCGTAATCCAAATAGTAGGAGAGAACAGGATTCCTACAAGTGTTTCCCTGACCTGTGTGTGTGTGTGTGTGTGTGTGTGTGTGTGTGTGTGCGCGCACGCGCGCGCTAGACTGTCATGGTGAAAACATGCCTGCAGTGCCAGCATAGAGGCTGAGGTAGGATGATCAAGGGTTATGAGGCCAGGCTGGGCCAATTCCAAGTGAGCTTGAGCCATACAGCAAGAAACTAAAAGGTGGGTGTCATACATCCTAGCAATTTTAATCAAGTATGCTAAAGTGAATAAGAGTACTTGGCTGGTATAGTCAACTACGTCCTGATAATAATAGCATCATCCTTGTTGCAGAACTGCAGGGCCACAGTTTGTATTATTGGGGAGGTCCTTATTCCCTGTGAAGTAATAATGGATCTGACAAGGATTTTTTTTCTTTACTGAGATTTGCCTATTTTTACTATCTTCTGGTCTCTCAGTTTTATTTGCTAATAATACTATTATACTGCAAATATTTTTCCCATTTTGTCCACCTCCCTCCCCAGGCCCTATGTGTATGTATGCAGGTGTGCATGCATGTGGAGGTCAGAGGTTCTTGTTGGGTACCTTCCCCCAACTGCTCTCCGGCCTTCTTTTTGGAGACAAGGTCTGCTGGCTCATCTGTCTCTTTCCAGCTCTGGGATCACAGGCATGCACCAGAGCAGGCAGATTTTACATGAGTACTTGGGGTCTGAACTCAGGCTCAAGCTTGTGCAAGAAGCCTCTGACTAGCTCAGCCATCTCCCAAGCCCCCATTTTGGCTTTGTGGATTTTTGTTTAAGTTTTTAAAAAAATTGACACAGGCTTTCAATGTGACTCAGGCTAACCTATAATACTATGCCTCCACCTCCCAAAACTGGGAATACAGGCACGCGCCGCTTCACTTGGTTTACCCGGAAGTGGGAACTGAACCTAGGGCTTCATGCACACTAGGCAGGCATTCTACCAATCGAGTTCCATCCCAACACCCCACTTTGTTTTTCAATTCGGTTAGTGATATTTAATATTAGAACTACAGCTTAATTTGTATGTAAATGTTTCCAGCTCTTCCTTTGTGATTTCTACATGGGCTTTTATGCGGCAGGCAATCCCACAACAGTATTTTTCTTCTGATATTTAAGAAAAAATTATTACCTTTATTTATTTAAGCCATCAGGTTTGACAGCAGAAGCCTTTTCCCCACTAGTCTTGTCTCTGGCCCTCTTCTGATATTTTAAAAATACCTACGTCACCTGGAATGTATTTCTGTGTAAGGTAGAAGAGTGAAGTAGTTTTAAATCCTAGAGCCTCCAATGGCTAGCCAGCCAGTCCTACAATATGGTTATGTATTACAGCTAACACAGTATCCAGTTAACACACTCCAGCCCAGGGCTATTACCCCATCTATATAAACACCCCAAACCTCATAAACTGCTTGCATCCTGTCCTTTAGGTTTGAGGCTTTACCCAGACCCTCTGGCACATGTTTTCAGCTCTTTATTAGATACTGTATTATTCTCTTTTAAAGACTTATTTTATGTCTATGAGTGTTTTGCCTGGATGTATGTCTGTGGCCAGGTGTGCAAAGCCCACGAAGGTCAGAAGGCGGAATCAGATTCCCCGGGAACTGAGTTACGGCCACCATGTAGATGCTAGGAACTGAATGCAGAGCCTTTGGAAGAGCAGCCAACGATCTTAACCACTGAGCCGTTCTCCAGTTCTGCTCTAACAGTCTTAAATGACCCAAGTCAAAGGACAATCTATTGCTACAGGAACAACAGAAATTATATCTAGGGCCCTGGACAACTATCCCAACTTTAATAATCTAGAAGAAAACTTTGTCAGGCACCTTTACAAGTCCAGAAAGAAGAAACAAGGGCCAAGCCAGGACAACGGCACATGCTTTTAACTGCAGCACTTGGGAGACAGAGGTGATGGATTTGAGCTCAGCCAGCCTGGTTTACATAGCAAGTTCCATGATAGCCCAGGCTACAGGGAGACCCTGGCTCAAACAACCACTCCCCTCCAAAAAACAAAAAGAAAAGAACCAAGCGAGAAGTCCCATTGAGCAAAACACCTCTAAATACGTCCATCAGCATATGACTTCAAGCAGGCCTAGGGATGAACCCTAGTTGAGCTACTGAATAGCTTGCTACCTCAGGACACTGCTTAGCTTGCTCAGTAATCAGTTCTCATCTGAAATATGTCAACACCCAGCTTAGGGGGCAGTTACTCCATGGTTCCAGAGGCATAAGGAGTGTTTGGCATGCAGTATATGTATTGCACATTTAAATATCAAGCGTAACATTCTCTTTTCTCTTCCACTTCTGCCAATAAAATTAATCTCTCTTGAGAAAACAGACCCTTAATTTATCTTTTTATCCAAGAAAGGACTTGTCAGAAACGCAGGGCCTTGTGACCACACTCACCACCCCCACCCAGGGTATTCCTCTCCTGCCAGGCCCCATCACGGAGACTTTCTAGTACCCAGGCTTGGGCTGCCTCCATCCTGACCCCTGCCACCTTACCCAGCTACCTCTTCTAAACTTACATCTTGGCCCAGCCTTCTGTTTAACCTGTGCTCCCAGAGGGAGCAAGCTCTGCCTACTCGTTCAAATTATTTGGTATCCCCAAAACCTATGCCCTTGTACCTCCTCTTCTTTCCTACTCCCCGGAAAATGCAGCTGGACTTTACCCATCACTTCCTGCACACCAGTAAGTACCTTACATACTAACGTAACCTAAAACACCATGCAGTATGCACCGTGCACCTTTGACAGAGAAGAACAGGCTGGACAGTGAAGACAAGTACATAAACTACCAAGTTCACACTCAAGCCACACAGGCATGACTGTGAGCATGAAAGTTCTCTAGTCCCAAAAGGAAGCGCTGAGGCTGCACTACTGCCAACCTCAACACACTGTCGGGATCTGGCATTAAGTCATTAAATGCTTAGTTCACGAAAATGTCTTTCCCAGGAACTAAGTCAGCAACCGCCTCTTTCCTTCCCTTTGCTGCACAAAAGGCCCAATGGTGTGGCTCTAGTCTCCCCCCTTTATTTTCCCAAACTGCCTACCCCCAAGGGCTGTGTGTTCGGTACAGGGCTCTTTTCGGCCATTTATTTGTTAAACACCTATTATAGGCCAGACAGTGTTAAGTAACCCAAGTGTTTTGACACTGAATACAACACTGTCCACAGAATTGCTATCGTCTTCTAACTAGGGGTCCTACTTCTCCTGGTTCTTGCCTGCCCGAAACACCCACAAAGCTTTTCTTCCACCCAAGCACACCAGTCTAAAAGACCTGCAACAGAGTGCAGTGCTGTCTGAGAGGGCAAACTTGAGGCTCAGCCTTTTATCTTAACCAAGTCACACCCCTCTCTACAGTCACCCCTCTCTACAGTTTAGATTTCTACGAAATGAGGAAAGAAAGTTATAGGGCCAAAAGGCAAATTTTAAATGTTCTCAGGCAAAGGCAAAAGACCACCCATAGAAAACAGCCCCCGACACTTAAAATCAACTTCAGTTCTAGGTCACAGCCCAGTTCTGTCCAAGCAGCGAGCTGTAAATGGCAGACCCGGGCACAGTACACGCTCCCATGTAGTTCCTGCTGAGGCTGACTGGTCTAGGGGACGGCACAGGGTCCTGACTGGTTTTTCCTTAACAAAAACAAAACAGATGCTGCAAACTAGGAGCACCTCTGACCCATAAAATTCCACTTGCTTAGGATGGTAATTTGAGATTCCTGTGTCTCAATTACACACACACACACACAAAAAAACGCCATCTGGTGCACCAAAGCCTAAGGCTGCAACACTCACGGTCTCAATGCTGTCTGTTCCTATTTGTTACCTTGGCCTCAAAGTCAAAGGTGTGGAGTGGAGCTATTCCACTTGTCTAGGGAGCGCCATTTCTCTTTAAGCTGCATTTTTTGATTGGGGGTTTGATCTGTTACTGAGGCTGAACCTCTGGCACCAGCCTCTCAAATAAAAATAGTGCATGCTCCCAAGGCCAAGTCGCTTTTTTTTTTCAAATGAAAAGCCATTGTGTCATTTTTTTCTAGTGAATTTCCTACTTCCTTATACTAATGAATGGGTCTTTTCCACTCCATCTTTGCTCCCACACCACAGTGCTAAGCATCACAAGTTATGGCATTCGAAGGCCAAGCAGTCATTCTAAGCCAGCCCCTTTGCTTTTACTCGAGGTTTGCACTGGAAAGGCCCACGACTGCATTTTATATTCATCTTGTTTTCCTCTTTGGTTGGTCTAGACTAAGCCAAGCTTTTCCTGAATCTATACTTCCTTCCAGAGCTGTTCCAAAGAAAAGTGTCAGGAGTCCTGGACACCGTACACTCAACGATGTGACACCTATCCTTCTGGGCCAGTTTCTTTGTCCACGGTCAGACTGTCTTTTCTTGAGCTCCTTAATTTTCTCTCTTCCTCCCCACAACCCAACATTTTATATATCTTAACTGCTGAACTACGCTGCCAATTTTGTTTGTATGTGTGTCTCAAGTAGTGTGTCTGTCTTACTTTTCCCCAAAGAGCCGTTCTTTTTGTGTAGACTCAAACATGTCTGTAAGCCTGGTCAAACTGCGTCAATGCGGTGGCTTCCGAGACCTGGCTTCAAGCACCAAGTGCTTAGTGAAAAGTTGGACTGAACGGGCCTGGCTCCTGACCATGACTGCATCTGCACTCCCTCCGCCCCAGCCCAGGCACTCCGACGCCGGCAGCTTTGCAGCAGCGGAGGTCTGTGCACGACCCAGACGGGGTCTCGCTTCCTCTTTGCGTTCCTCTGTAGTCTTCAGCTTCAGCCAGAAACCCGAGTCCCACGGAAGCGCACAGACCCGCCCCGCCCGAACGCCGCCACCCTCTCACCCGGACCCCCCGGCGGCTCGCCGTGCGGCTGCGGCCCGGGGGCGCCGCCGTCC